AGTTGTGCGGCCCCGCCGCGCCGCCAACGGCTCCCAGCCCACGCGCCCAGCAAGGCAACCCACACACGCACACGGGAGACCAGACAGAGAAGAACCCAGCAATGGAGAACTGCGAAAGCCAGCGAGCCGGAGCCGCGGCGAAACGAAGCCTCGACAAAGACGAGAGGGAAAGGTCTGCGAGTGGCGAGAGCTGCTTTGAGTGAAAGGACTGATTTGTCCTCAAGAGAAAAGAAAACATAATGGTTTACGTTAGCAAAAACGTCCAGGAAAATGTATTGTACACAGGAGGTGGCCATTTGATTTGCAGAAGATAAACTTCACCAAGCATGGCCTGATCCAGCGCTAGTCACGACTCACTTTGGGAAACCTTTACGGATACACGTAACGCGTACTAACTGCACAGGGCAGGGGGGGAAACCAAAAGAAGGCACAAAGAATGGCCTAACTGAAAAACCTAAAGCAATAACGAGCGTTCTTAACATTTTGAAAGGTTATTGCAATGTAAGTAACTATGAGAGATTTGTACAAATACAGCACGGGCTAGCAAACAACATATATTAAATAGCATTTCATGACTCAGTAAAATACACGGATTGATTTGCAACCATTCTTTCAACTGTCCAAGATTTAGACAAAATACACACAATAATGCTCCCCATTTCTTCTTCTTCCCCCGACAGCTTACATCTCCTAGAGGCTGGGAAACAGGTGGAGAAATTAAATTCCACAATTAGTGTTGAATTTGCAAGTCGTAGGCGTTTCTGGGCTTGTTCAGTAGCAAACCTAACATTAAGTCACCGTTCTTCTTCATTCCGCGAAGGAGTGCCACGGAAGAAACGCACTCAGGCTCTCTAGACGAAAGCAAGCTCACCGTGCCCAGCAACATTCCCTACTGCCCATTCACACAGCAGTACTGATGGACCACCACCAGCACAAGACCCTGTCTGGCAACAGGAACCTTGAGATTTGGGTTGAACTACACCGACAACGAGCATCTGAATGGCAGCTGCTCCTCTCCTCTCCGCCCAATCCTCCACACCCAAAACTCCAGGTGAGCACCCTGCCATAGTAATTTTCTGCCCAGTTTGGCCCAGCAATGTCCACTGCAGAAATACAACTTGTCGCATGAAATTAATGTAATGGCTTTCTTACTAACTCGCAAAAGGGTGGCTTTGAGTCTCTGAATCAGAGAGAGAACCTCCAAGACAACTTCATGTCTTTTCTGCAGACGATTCATTACTAAGTCACTGTGACTTCAGGTGTTTGTGTGAAAAACAGCAAAGCTCTCAACATCAAATAATAATAAAAGGGCACTTCATATTCTTCCAAGTGCTAACGTGTTTTGGATTTGAGGTAATTCATTAGATACTTAAATATCCTTCAGCATACTGTATCAAGTATTAAGAACAACAGCTGCATAATGACAGAGAATTGACTTCAACTTCCGTATCAGAAGAGTGAAAACCAACAAGAAAGTGAGAAGATGCAGTCTGCGGCACCAGTGGCCTCTTGGTGTAACTGCTATCAAAATAAGAACAGGCTCAGGACAGCTGCTTTTCGAAGTATCTTCCAACAGCAGAAGAGCAGTACAAGCCTGTACCAAAAAAAGAAGGTCACAAACTATCCGCACACACCCGCAGACCGGGACACTTCCCCACGGCTGGAACAAGCCGGCAGCCACTGCAGCGATGGCACACAAACTCATCGTTTCTAAGTTTCCTTCTTCTTTGCAAAAGGTGAAATGTATTTCCCGTCCTGACACGGGAACTCTTGCAGAGCTTTCAGCACTATCCTGACACACGATGACAACAACCCACTGGCAGTGCCTACCTCCTACCACCGCTCCGGAAAAAAAACAGCCCGAGCATGAGGCCACCGGACCAGGATGGCAAGGTGCTCAGATACGCACCTGGCCTCTATCGCAGCACTACTACAGGTAGGTATTAAAATACAGAGTGTTTGAAGTTATTTATGGCAATGAAAGCACTGGCATCCTCCCTCTGGGTGCTGTATTAACCTGCTGTACGTAGCTACGTATTTACAGCTGCCAACACTTCCCACTGTGAGAGCCGGTGTTGGGCTATTTAAAACTTTGACACATTTCAACCAGCAAAGGCAAAACCTTCCTTCTGAATTGTCTGCTTTGGGCTGCTATCTTCTTTTTCCTCTCCACAGAAAATTTCAGCCAAAACAGTTCCATAAATGAGGCTAAGAAAAAGGTTTCATATAAGGAGATTATTATTTTTTACTTTAAACATAAAAAAAGTTTCTCTTCCAAAATCTTTTTAGAGAGACTTCATATGGGAGAAGGTGCTAGGTCTGGGATATGTTGTCACAAGATAAATATCTGCCTGAATTTGGCTAAGCTATAAGCATCAGGGGGAGAAGATAAAAATTATCAGTTTGTTCACCCTTGAGACTTTTGTTAGTTACTGGAATCTCAGATTGCAGCCTTGCTGAGACCATTTCATCCTCCTGCAGCTCCTTCGCACACAGGGGCCTGCCTGCACCATCCCACCCAGGATGAAGTCGCCCTTTGGCGCAGGGCTCTGCCATGGTCTTAAACTACAAGAGGGTAAGTTCAGGCCCCATACAAGGAAGACCTTTGTTACGATGGGGGTGGTGACACACTGGCACTGGTTGCCCAGAGAGGTGGTCGATGCCCCATCCCTGGAAACATTCAAGGTCAGGTTGGACAGGGCTCTGAGCAACCTGGTCTAGCTGAAGATGTCCCTGATCACTGCAGGGGGGCTGGGCTAGATGGCCTTTAAAGGCCCCCTCCAGCCCGAGGCATTCCATGATTCCTTGTGCCACCCTCACAAAGTCAGGGACCGGCAGCAGGGCGTGCTGCAGACTGCTCCCCACCACAGCTTGCCGCTGGGTTTTAGCATCCCTCCTGCCACCTGGGTGGAAAAGACGCCCGGTTCTGGCTGATGAGCGCCAGACCCAGGAGCGGACTTAGTGAAATGCAGGGAGGCTGGGAACTGTAAGGGAGGGAAAACCTCTGGAAACTGGGAGGGTGGCGAGAGGCAGGCTGGGGGGGGAGTGCTGAGCCGAGAGGAGGGGACTGGGATTAAGAAGCACCAGTGGGAATTAAAACTGGGTGCAGTGAGGGTCTAAACGGTGGAGGGAAGTTGCCTGGGCAAGGGGCTGGGAAGAGCCAAGCTGCAGGGGCCAGGGCAGAAGGGGTAAAAAACCAGACATGCTTTTGCTGCGGAATGAGGGGAAAACAATTACAGCCTTCACCCTGTCAGAGCTGGAACTGAACCCTGAATTCCCAATTCTGCCATCCCTTTGCCATCTGCAAATACCATGGGCTTGCTGACAAACTCACTCCCTTCTAGAGCAAGCTCTCAGAAAATGATCATCTACCATTATTTTGTTACTTTAATTACTAAAATGGCAGAGATCTGCATTTATCACCCAAGTGGGTGGTTCAATGCTGCAAACTATTTTTGACATGTGCTTTGGAAAAAAAGCAGGCATTGGAATAAAAACAGGTCCTTTTTACAGAAAACCCAATGTTTCAAAGTGTATACACAAGAAATGCTGTAACTAATGCAGGCTTAATTCAGCTGCCATTGATGTGTATATACACTGTAACAGTCCTCTAGCCCTCCTCTTAGCAGAGGCTCCCTTCCTCACTCAGCACATCCTCTGGATCTCTACGGGGATGGATCTGAGCAGCAACAACACAAGACCCCTGCTCACTTGGCACAGCGTTCGGAGGACGTGGAGTGAACGAGACAGGGGGACAAAAAGGAAAATCTCAGGGCAACGAACGCCGCCTTGGAGAACAGCATCCCACCACTGTCAGTGCCAGCACAGGTCATTTCAACCTTTTATTTTTTCTTTCCCAAGTCTGGCTTGCATTTTTTGGATGCCCAATTTATTCATACAGGGAAACCCCATCGGCAGCAACTGAGGCCAACGGGAGCAATCCTCTGTATGTATTAATCACTGACTTATCTTGGAAAATTAAAGCTTTACACAGGCAAGTTTGTCAATCCAAAATTTTTAAGTGTTCCTGATCCTCTCTGACTCTTTTCTACTTCAGAAAGAGAAGAAATGCCAGCCACTTGCCCGACGGACTAGCACACTGCCTTTGGGAAACACCCAAATACTGCTGTCACAAACACCACAGCAAAGTCCATGACGAACGCAAGTAACTCCAGCAATGATCGGTTTCTGCAGTAAGCACAGCAACGGGCCACTCCGCAAGCAACAGTGAACAATGCCGAGGTGTTCTGAAAAAATGTGCTATAAAAGCATCTGATCCGAAA